TGTCCGTTTATGGATTACCAGGTTGAAGTCGTGTCACGCCCTCCCCAACGCTTTCCACCTCAGCTGTTGCCTCGTGGCCGGGGATGCAGGGGTATTTTGCTAAATTTAACAACGTAGGTATAATGATGAAAAATTTACAAGTGGAATAAAGCTTGAAAATTAGGCTAAATAAAAAAAATCGGGATTCTTCTTACCTCCAACCACCCATCCATTAATCAGGGCAATATCGGTGTGACATAACGCGTTGTAGAGCATCTAAAACCATCGAAAGTTTTTATTTGTAGTTTATTGTTGTATTTTGTAGTTTATACCAAGTAGCTCACCTTAATGCGTACCTCCCCAGCCTTGGGCGGGTCGACCTCAATTTCTTCGAGCTTGATGTTTTTCTTGCCCCAGATGACCAGAGCTTTGCATTTGATCGTCTAAAAAAATTAAGTCTAAATTTCGAATCTCAATTTATTTTCATAGTTAATGTGATCTCCAGGGACCCTTAGTCTTAAAAAATCTCATAAAGCCTTAAAAAATCGATAAAAAAGTTTACCTGACCGGTGCAGTCCATTCGCGTCTTGTTTCCACTTTGATTCGGGGTCTGAATATCGGCTCCAGCCGGATCGCATGCAGAAATGGCGGCAAACATTTTTAGTAGCACTTTCCTTACAAATTACACTTGCAAAGTCAGGAATACCGATATTTCGACGCTATTTATATGGGATGGGCGCTCTTTCTCCGTCTCTCTTTTTGCAGCCCTTTGAGGGAGGGGCAGTCAATATGTTTTTCTGCACTCTGAGTACTCTTTTGGGTTGACGCTAGGTTTTGGGCCAGATACAAAGAAAATAATAGGGTATTAGGTATGAAATTAGAGTTCGTATTAAGCACTTTAAAGAGATGAGGACGGCATCTGTTGAACCCCCCTTGGGGACTGTAGGGGGTCAGCAGGTCCCGCGGCGAGAGAGCGCGCCCAGGGGAGAGGCGCAGAGACAGTTTCTTTCCCGCGCGTAATCGATTGATTTATGCAGCCCCTATCCCTTTAAACATGCATTAAGCATTATGACGGTAGCTTATAGTCTAACATGACATTTAATAAATTTAGAGGTTAACATTTTAACGTTTTCCAATACTTTACAAAGTTTTTTACGGAACACTGCGCGATGATGGAAGCGTCTATGCGCCGCGGCACTGTCTGATCTGTAAAACGTACCTTTCTTTCAGTTGACACAACTAACAATAATTTGAGTAAAATGAGTAGCTCGTCGCTTTTTGGCAAAATGGCAGCAGTGTAATGAAAGATACGCAGTAATCCCGAAAGCGAACATCAACAACAAAAATTGGCATCTCCTTTTTCCATTGTTATTACCACTCTGCCATGGAAATCCAGGTATTTTCGTAGGTGTAAATAGTCTGGGAAAGTACTACACTTTATTCAGGGCCAAAATCTACTCGTGCCGGGCCAGGGAGATGACGGAACGGATGCTGAAAATCAACCAGAATAATTGAAATAAATCACTAGTCCAAATACCATTTCCCCTGCTTCAGCAGCTCGACGGCCTGGTTTACATCTTTCAAATCGAAACGGTGCGTGATCAGCGGATCAATATTGATGGCGCCGGTCTGGATCTTTTCAACGAGTTTTGGCGCGTCTTGCACGCGGTAATCTGATGATATCGTTTTTATCGCTTAATTTTTGTGCATACCTCCATAACAGCTGCCCAAAATCGTCTTACGCTCCAGGAAAACTAGTGGGTTGATGCTGAACTCCTTGCCGGGGGCGCCAAGCCCGACAATGACGGTGCGGCCCCAGCCCGGTTTCGTGATGTAGACAGCATTTTTCTAAAGCAAATTAATGGTTTGTTAGGCTTAAGCTTAGACTTAGGTTTGCCACAAAAAAGGTCATACAAACATACCATGCATTCGATATTCCCAATGCATTCAATGGCTCTGTCGACGTGCCCAAATTTTTCGATGTACCACTCCTGAAGAGAATTTGTATGCCAATTTACTGTCCAATTCCAACTTACAGCAAACGGCTTCCCCTCGGGGCAATCCTTAGGGTTGACAAACCCTGTTGCTCCCATTTCACGAGCTAAACAGTTAAAAATTTTGGATGAGGATTCCGGTACCAATCTTCTCCTTGTCCGGGTTGATGTCGATGGCGAAGATCTCCTTGGCACCGGCATTTTGCGCTCCATGCATAGCCGAAAGCCCTACGCAACCAGCCCCGAATACGGCCACGCTATCACCAGGACGAATCTAAAAAAGTCGAGCTATTTTAAGGCTTCACTCATTCTTTGTAGTTTAAGCTACTCCTACCTCAGCCGAGTTCATCGCCGAGCCAAAACCTGTCGTGAATCCACAGCCGACCAGGCACGCCTTTTCCATCGGAGCTGCCGAATCTATCTGGATTCCACTTTTTCTTGGGTTTTTTTTCAATAAGGAGACCTTGGCCAACATTGTCGCTTTGACGACCGTATACTCGCTGAACGTCGAGGTCCCGAAGAAGTGCGAGACCTGCGTATTATCAGGATTTTTCAGCTTTTCGCCCGCCTACCTTTTGGCCTTTGCATGTGAACCTGGAGGTACCGTCGTCCATATCGGCAAAGAAGTTGGTAAGGCTGAAATTTTGGAGGTTGGAGCATTATAATCGATTTAACGTAGCGTAACTTATTAAAAACGGGATAGAGATCCCCCTAAACAACAATTAATTTACTGACTTACCTAAGCGTCTCGCAAAAATTGTTATCATCCCTCTTGCAATTCCCGCATTGCAGACATTGAGGCATGAAAATCGGAATCACGGCATCACCCAGATAAGAATATTTTCATTTTTTTTGTAATTTTTATACCAGGCTTGAAATTCGTCACCCCTTCTCCAACACTTTCCACAATTCCGGTCGCCTCGTGACCCATTATAACCGGGTAGGGGGCTAAAAAGCTGATAATTTTAATGCACAAAATTTAACCCGGCATTCCTCCGCCAATAAAGTGCAGATCGGTATGGCAGAGGGCATTGAAAAGTACCTAAGATCTATGAAAACAACCGTTAAAAATGTTACCTTCACTCGAACTTCCCCCTTTTTCGGCGGCGCCACCTCGATAGTCTCGACTTTCAGGTCATTAGCCGCCCAGAGGACCGCGGCGCGGCATGTAATCGACTAAAACTCAATTGATTTTACTTAATATAATTCAAGCGTCTACAAAAACGTAATAGTAAAACGTTATTTTTTGGCAAACGTAATAAGGCCAGCTGTAGTAAAGCAACCAGCTTTTTATGGCACAAGTAGGCTAAATTATGTCAAACAAACCGTTGGCACCGTCCCTTTAAAATGTCAAAGATCGTAAATTACCTTTCCTTCCGTGCTCACCGCCATCGTTTTGACTGAAAATGAAAAAGTGAATAGTCAACTACGCCAAAGCAGCCAAGCGTGAAAAACGCTCTGCAAATAGAAAACTGTAAGGGATCGGGGTCCCTAAAAACAAAAATAGGGAGCGCAGATCATCGCCAAAACGGGAAAATTCCGGGCAGCGAATTGGGGAAATGTTCTTTAATCGAATTTCCAGTTTATGTCTCGGCGTAGCGTCGTATCCTTCTCTACGCAGGGATAAGGACAATGCAAGACCGAGTATTCGCCACTGCCTGAAATAGTAGACTGCTAGTAAATTCCCGCTATCTTTTAACTCAAAGTTTCTTGCGATGTAATAATGGCACCACGCTGGATTCGATGGCGCGCATTACAAACAAACGATATCGAAAGATGTGACATCCTCGCAACCTGGGATCTGCAGAAAATCGTCCCGCCCTCCCAAAAACGCCGATGATCAAGATAGAGCGTCGTGCATACGATGAAACCTGGCGATCGCCTCCGATAAACCTCGCTGGGTCCATGCATCTTCCCGCGCGGCAGTGATCCAATACTAGATGAAAGTTTCAGCGTTCAAGAAACAACTCGTATCGCCATGCAGCAAAGCACACCACCATTTCGAACCACTGCAAAACCTAACCTTTCACGTTCTTCGATAACATAGTCGTCTAATGGGTGGAATCGCTTTATTGATAGAACATTCAAGGTAACAAAAGTGTGAGGAATCAAGTCTTCCAAAACAACCGGAGATCGAGGAAGACCTCGTAAAAGAAAACAATAGAAATGGACCCAAAGATAAGCAAGGATTGACGTCGATAAAAGTTGAAATCATCGGTATAAGTTACGAAAAAGGCCCGTCTAGACGCTGCGGATCAACGTGATGTTGTCGCCCTTCAGCAGGATTCGTCCGATCTAAACAAGAATAATGAAAAGGAGACTCGGGGTACCTTTGAGCTGTTTGAGGTTTTTACATTGACTTCTTCGGCCTCGTCGACAACGATGTTCATGTACTCGTCGAAGCCAAGGATGTAGCCTTCGATTCTGGAAAAAATCTAGATTATCTAACCAAGAAATTAAAAGGCGGCACACTCAATAATAAGCAACTCATAACAAACCCAACCTGGTTGTGACATTTTCATACAGCCAAAACTGGACGCGCGTTCTTCCCTGGAGGTACCGGAAGATGAGGTTGATGGGTTGGACCATCACCTTCTGAACTTTGCCGCGTGCGCTCATCTTTGCTCTGGAAAAGAACTATAGTGATAATTGATAAAGAAATCGAGAATAGAAGTTTAGAGAAACAGCATGCGAAAACAAATTCAGTGCGTGTCAACGTTCTTACACACATGAAATTTTGAGGTGCCTTTAAGGCCTACGAGTATAAATCGTCAAGTAATTCAAAATATCAAAAGCAATTCTAAAAAGCGAAGATTTTTAGAAATAAACCGCGAAGAGCATTTAGAAATTTCGAATCCTGCTGGTCCAACGAGTTACGATCAGCGCACAAAGAGAGGTGTCAATTGGAGCGCCCGTAGTCAAGGAATTGACAAAATCTTACCGAACAAAACGGTTGAACAAGCTTCACAAAAATATCGAAATGCACAATTTATCCACTAGAAAAACATATCAAAATCTAAAAAATCATTGTTGCTTCTTCCCGTATTCATCCCTGAGACTGCGCTTGTACATCAGGCGGTAGAAAAGAGTCGGCCAAAGCCATCTGAAAAAGAGAAATTTTTGAACGAAAACGAAACGGTTACCTCAAGAAAATTCCGGTTCTGTGGACGAACGGGGCTAGGATGAGCTCGATGTCTCTTCTAAAAAAATTAGGTTTATCAAGGCGCTGTAAAAGTAACTACCTTTCCGCGGAATCCAGGATAGCTTTGGCCGAATATTCTGAAGAATAGCCCTTGGCTTGGTCCTGGTCCTCCTTTGCCACTGGTTGCCCATTGATGTCAAGGGCCTAAAAAAGGGTCTGATAGCCGAATTCTTCTCACCTTTGCGCCAAATCCGGTATTCATATAGCCAGCCGACACGATGAGGATCTGCAGGTTGTGGCGCTCCTCGCCTCGCATCGAATCGAAGAAACCCTATAGGAAATTAAATCGAAGTAGAAGAACTAAGTACCTGCAGAGCGTGCTTACTCGCCGAATATGCGCTTCGATATGGCACTGCAACGCGCCCTTGCAAGCTGCTCGTAACAATGATACACCCTAAAAAGTTGAAGTTGAAATGCTTAAATTGGCCACACCTTCGTCCGGAATAAACGGCAGCAGGGCTTTTGTCACCGTGATGTGGCCAAAGTAGTTTACCTGGAGTAAAATGTTAAATAAAAAGTAAAAAGGCATACTTCCATAATTTGTCGCTGAACCTTGATCGGCGTGTCGGTAATGGGGCCGCGATTCGAGAGACCGGCGTTGTTGATGAGGACATCGATCGTCTTCCCGTCGATCGACAGCTCGACCAGTTTTTCCAGATCTGTAGGCTCGCAAATGTCCAGGTATCTAAAGTAACTTTGCGATTTTTTCGGATAATAGTTACCGGTATGCCGGCTCGTGCTTGTTTTGGACACCAGACGCCTTCAGCTCCTCGGCGAGCTCACGAAGCTTGTCAATCGAGCGGGCGGTGAGGATCAGCTTTGCGCCACGTGCGTACAGCTCGGTGGCCAGGGCGCGGCCAAGACCCGTTGAAGCACCTGGATAAGGATATGTAAAGGCATTTAGAAAATCAAATTACCCGTAATCAGGACAGTTTTGTCGCGGAAGCTGAGGCGAGGTTGGTTGTGCGGGCCGGGGACGAGCTTCTGGGCCAACTTTGAAATTGCGTAGAGGCCGGCTGGTAGTAAGATCCATTGGATGTTGCTGAAAATAGAATCATCGTCGTTGTTTTCTAGAAATCAACATTTTTTCTAAAACTCAAATTTCAGATTTTCCTGAAAATAAAAGTCTTATAGATTTTTAACGAGGGGCCAAACTTCCTTTATTCAGCCTAACCTTCACGGTAATAACACAACGTATTTTTATAGTTTTTAATAACTCGTTTACGAAAAAGCCTTGAAACGTTCTCTGTTAATTTAAAAATTCTGCACGTTTTCGACTTCTTTTATACATCCGGGACCAAAAAAAATACGGTACCTTTTCAAATGCTGCACCACAACATCCAGAGATTCGTGGAGATCCATACGGCTTCTTCCTGAAACACTAATTGCGGTTTTGAGCAAGGAAAACAAACAATAACCTAGCGCTACATAAGTTTTGTCAAGAAACCAATAAAGCAGGAGGCCGCGATGCCAAATCGACGGCGCTTATCGCAAACAACTGCGCCGGCACACCGGCTGCAGACTACAGAGTGGCCTTGGCAGAAAACAACGCGCCCCAATGCATGAAAAAGCTCCTCAAAAACCTCTTTAGGTGTCGCCGGCTTGCACGTGTCTATAATCCGCATGTGATTTCGGTGAAGTGAAATGACTTCTAACACTTTATTGCAATCAATGTTATTAAAATGGAGAGCATATTACAGGCGATACCCATAGCGTGGATTAGGCTTCTAAACATAAAAGGCGCAAAATAAGTAAAACACATCGTGACGGGGGGTATTTTTGGCTGGCACAAAAGGCTGTGCCATCGAAATATTAGGGATACTTGAAGGGCTGATTGTCTGGATGATGGAATCGGACCCGCTACTTCGTTGAATACACACACAAATAATCAGCTAGCAATGATCGGCACATATAAGGGGGAATTTGAGTTAGTTGTGGGAACCCACCAAAACTAGAAAAGTCGGAAAGACTAAATTTTAGGCCGAGGTCAGGAAACGAGAATTATATATCCGGATTCCGTTGGAATTGCATAAGGATGAGATACGGGTAGAAGGCCGGTTCTAATTAAGACTACCGTCTGGCCCTGTGATTCTGCGGACGTGGTGCTGCCGGCGCCATCATTGAAACGGCATCATCATCGGGAACGCTGAAAAGAATTAGATAAAAAAGGAATGACAATTTACTTTTGCTGTCCAAGCGCAGGGACGTCGGGGGCAGGTGCGGTCGGGCGTCGGCATAAGCGATGCTTCAGCCGTGTGTCGCCGTATTCACAGACAACCGCTTGCTTTTTCCTGAAAAAAAAAAGAATAAAACTAACGATAGATAAATTGCCTGTTCAACGCGTTTAGAAGCTTCTGCGATTCCTCGCCGGGCTGGATTCCGTGGTATGTGCAATTCCGCAACACGACCAGGTCAACGCCAAGTTTCTAAGAAAAAGCAAATGTCAATTTGTTCAACAAAGAACTTACGTCGATCGTCCTCTCCAAGTGCGGCATGTCCTTTGACCGGAAATCGATGTCGACGAATTCAATCGATTTTAGGTGCCACGCGCGGATGTGTACGAGTCCACGGAGGACTCTGTCGAACGATGCATAGTTTGCCTAAAATTAAATGAAAATAATGAATCAAAATTTGTACCGCAAATGGCCGGATGTCGCATTTGGAGTGGAACATCAAAATGTACTTCTTGTCTTCCTGTGTCCGCATCACGGAGACCCTAAAAAGGAAAATAAGAGATTGCAAAGGACAAATTTACCGATCTGGGGATAGGCCCGCGCTGTACATGAAGGCAACCCCTTCGAGGAACGTGTTGCCAGAGGTCTTCAGAAGAAGTTTCTCGGTGGCAAGGGCTACCAGTGACTTCATCGGCGTGTGGGCCATTCACAGGGCTGAAAAAGGTGGTAAATTTAATGCAGAAAGAAGAAAAACGATAAATGTTTGAAAGGTCAATGCGAAAAATGCGGAAGCTGCCTATCATAACGAAGAAATTTGAACCGTTCGTGCAGGAAAAAAAACTAAAGCTCTTTTTTCGCCCTAGCTGGGAGAGAACAACTGCTTTACGCTGGGTCACCGTGGTCAGTTGGAGCGACAGGGGGAAGTGAACCCTGGGTGTTGTCTCGGTCAATCGTATAGTTGAAAAAGATGGATAATGCATTCCTTTCGAAAAGTGGCCATAGACTTGACACGAAATAAGCTAGTTTGCTTCAAAAAATTAGAAAGGGCAGCGGCAAGCTAAATGACGTCTATTGCGAGAAAACTACGCCAAGAAGTCAAAAACCAAGCACAGAAACAGTTAGAAAGGAGCGGTTCAAAGGGAAACATCTAATTAAACCCGGAAATGTGACTGCACCCGGCGCAAAGGTCCAACGAACGTGTGCGGGCGACGAGGAAGCGGCAAAAAAGGACTGGCGTCGGGCCGGTAGCCAGCAAACGTCCGAAATGTCCCCCTCCCCATCCCTCGTGTCGCGCAAATAAACGGCCAAATTTGGAAACGCCGAGCAAGGATGAGGACGGAAGAGACGGATGGCTCGCACCGGGGGCCTAGGGGTCAACGGACCGTTGGGGGACCCATTGATCCGGGTGTGGCCCAGAGCCGTGGTCATCAATTGGGCAAACTGTCGGGGCGACGCTGGGACTGGGAAAAGTTATCTCACCTTCATGTGGACCGTGAAAAGCGGGCGAGTAAATGAAAAATATCGAAAAATAACCGGCGCCCGTACGTAATACAACGCTGGACAGTACGTACTGTGTTAAGAGGTATTGTCGCGTACATGAAAGTTGATTTTCCGGGTTTCCGTTATTAAAAACTTGTTTAGCTTTCCTTTCATTACACTACGATTCATCCTTTAATAAAAACGCGCACGAGAGGGGGCGAAGGGGCTAGGCTACGGGGCGCTCCAATACCCCTCGCGTAATGCATAGTTAAGCTAAGGGGGCCATCTTTTCCACTTTCAACTGGCTATAACTTTTTTCTGAGAAGATTTCATAATCTACTTGAGTGTACAAAAAAATAGAACAGCTTCTGCTCTATCTTTTGGTCCAGGTTTCCTGAAAATCGTACACGGCAATCGGGCGCCCGGTCAGTTTGAAGTTGAAAAAAATGAGGTACCTAAGACAACGGGCATCATAGGGAAGCTAAATGTTTGCCCATAGCGCCTCAATTGCATTTTTTGATAAACTATAGACTAGCAACTATCCAATAAAGTGCAAAATCGCATCACCTTGACATCTACATCACGCTGCAATAGAAACTTAGTTAAAATTTTCAACTGACTATAGTACGTTTTCCTGGAACCTGCTTGAAAGCTAGGAACACAGAACAAACTTCGCTCTATCTGCCGCAACCAGTTTTAGAACGTCGTAGCGTTGTGATTTTAACAGCGGTCGATTTTGGAAATATGCATGAGTCCGCTGTTTTTCTTCATCCATTCTGCGCGAAAGAAAGTGATAGGATGCTTCTTGATTCGACTAGAGTCATGGCATTCCACTAGGAACATTTTCCGCAAAAAAGCAAAACGAAAATGCGGAGGCCTGCGAACCCGGGAACCGAACCCGCGTTCCCTGTCCCGGGGCTCAACCGCCGCCTTAGACCACTACACCACGCCCCGACCACCCCTCCCGTGCGCGCTCCGAAAGGCCGTGATTAGTAAATAGAAAAATATAGATTGTTTTAGTTCTATTATGTTACTTTACGATAATTTTTTTACCTGGATTTTCTAATGCACATGACTTTTTATGAAAGGAATTTGATTAGCCTTGTTCGGGTGCATTTTTATAAAGAGAACATCATGCGAAAAGGTTTTTTCAACCAGCAACCGAATCCTTACATGAAAACAGTTTATGGGCGATGTGTTGAAGTCGTAAACGAATAGCAAGACCAAAAATCGAACCAGCTTTCGATTTTTGGCATCCCATTCGCATAAAAATCCGACCGCACCCAGCTGACAACCGCCCCGGATTTCACTTCTTATCCAGTCCGCTGCCAGAAGAAGCTGAACGGGTGACGAGCCAAATTGAAACTAATCGAGCAGCGGGTTGCTGAAGAGGGAATTAGCGAGTGACTAAAGGCCGGCTGGTCGGCTTGCACCGAAGCGGGGCAGATGTTGAATGGGGAATGGCTGGGAACGGTGAGCAGAAAATGACCGGCTTTCAAAAGCCCGAAGGGAACCACCGACCGCACACGGGGGGTCGGCTCTTCCACACAAAAAACCAGTGGATGTGCCCGGAAAAATCGGGTTATTGAAAGAAAGGGGGTGTTGGATTGTGTGGAGGGATAGGTCAACGAGGGCAACGAGCGATAGATATGAATTTTTTGGTGTGATGATCGAGGTGGTCGAACAGAAAGTGTAGCTTTCGAGAGCGGGTAAATAGGATTATAGTCGTTTAATAACTAGACTAGGCGTATCGGAGGTGGTACCAGTGACTCATTTTTTATGCGAAAACGATATTTTTGTGGTTTACCGACCTTACGATCACTAAGAGGAAGTGTGCTTTTGAGTGATCGGAAAGGCGGTTTGAGACGTCGTTGATTCGATGGCGAATTGAATTCTGGACAAGCTTCCGTTGTTTGTTTTTGGCGGAATGGGTGTCCTTGGTTTTATAAAATTAGAAAATTACCAGGTGATTTTTTTAATTTTATTAAATAATGGGAAGCCATTCCTTAAAAATGAACAACCGAAGCTTGCGCGAATTTCAATTTTCTATCGAATGCGCTTTGTCTCGAACCGTTTTGCCGATGACTCAAAAAAAATATACACCTTGTTAGAGCTCGTAAGGTTCGCTAGAAGTCCAAAAGGCATCCTTTTTCGCATAAAAATGAGTCAGGAATCTTCTGACCATCCGTCAACCCCGCCGAGTCCAAAAATATTAGCCAGCTGACAGGGGCGGCGCCAAGTCGTCTCATCGTCGGCGGCCCCGTTTTTTGTCACGGGAATAGTAGGAGTGACTGGCACTGCCTCAGCGATACACACGTGGTCAAGACGACCCTAAACCCGAGAACGCACTTTTTGGGATCGGACCCTGGTCAGGCCACTAGCCGCGGCCGCAGCGTCCAACGGACCACAGAGACCCGCTCAAAACAGCCCAGTTGGTGTTGTCCCGGAGACCCGATAGCTTTTTGGAAAACCGAGGGGGCCCGGGGGTAAATACAAACAACGGTACGTAGGGGGGTATTTTCGCGGGTCCCGGTTGTGGACGAAATTTTGGTTTTGAGCGGTAGGTTCGGTCGTAAACGATAAATAGGGTTGGTTAGTGGTTGTTTTCAGGTTTTTTTTTCATATTTGTGGAAGGTATTGTTGACCGTAGCTCGGGTTGATGGCTATTGGCTTGACCAGGAGGAACAGTTTTTTTTGAATTTCCGGTTGAAAATTGGCGCCTAAATTTTGAAAGGTAGTGAATTTTCTCAAACTTGATAAAATATCTGATACAAACGTAACATGCCCAGCGAGAGGGATTATTTTTACAGCTTTCTAGCGCTGATCATGGGCGAAAAACTGGCGTCTGAGTTTTGGAAGTAATTAAATGGCTTTGAAACCGGGTTTGCTGACTTTTTAGCGGTTATCTGACGAGTTATCTGAAGGATTGATTCTTCGGTTGTTAGCTAGTTATGAGAACCATTTAACGCGTTGCTGGAACAAATTATACGCGCTTTAAAAGTTTTATTACTGAACCAGCGGGGGAGGAGCCGCTTCGCGACTCTCCCCCGCTGGACCCCGTCTAGGCCCTATGAATCGAGCGCCCTTCCACATAAAGTTACCATGAAGAAAGAAAAACGCATCTCCCATGAAAACCTCTTTGTATTGGCATGCGGCGCAAGCTTAAACTGCTAGTCTCGTTATTAAGCCTGCGGCGCATGCTTGATCGGCCAGGTCCTTATCCAGCGGTCATCGCGCAACGGCCTTATCCAGCGGTCAGCGGCGGTCGGCGCGGTCATCCTGCGGCCAAATCTTAAGCGGTTTGCTTCGAGATAAGCCTGCGGCGGAAGTTTGAGCGGTTACCTCCTTTTTTAGCCTGCGGCGCTAGCTTGAGCGGCTGGCTTCGTTCTAAAGTCTGCGGCGCTAGCTTGTGCGGCTGACTTCGTTCTAAAGCCTGCGGCGCTAGCTTGTGGGGCTAGCTTCGTTCCAAAGCCTGCGGCGCTAGCTTGTGGGGCTAGCTTCGTTCTAAAGCCTGCAGCGCTAGCTTGTGGGGCTAGCTTCGTTTTAAAGCCTGCGGCGCTAGCTTGTGGGGCTAGCTTCGTTCTAAAGCCTGCGGCGCTAGCTTGTGGGGCTAGCTTCGTTCTAAAGCCTGCGGCGCTAGCTTGTGGGGCTAGCTTCGTTCGAAAGCCTGCGGCGCTAGCTTGCGCGGCTAGCTTCGTTCTAAAGCCTGCGGCGCTAGCTTGTGGGGTTAGCTTCGTTCTAAAGCCTGCGGCGCTAGCTTGTGGGGCTAGCTTCGTTCTAAAGCCTGCGGCGCTAGCTTGTGGGGCTAGCTTCGTTCTAAAGCCTGCGGCGCTAGCTTGTGGGGCTAGCTTCGTTCGAAAGCCTGCGGCGCTAGCTTGTGGGGCTAGCTTCGTTCTAAAGCCTGCGGCGCTAGCTTGTGGGGCTAGCTTCGTTCTAAAGCCTGCGGCGCTAGCTTGTGGGGCTAGCTTCGTTCTAAAGCCTGCGGCGCTAGCTTGTGGGGCTAGCTTCGTTCTAAAGCCTGCGGCGCTAGCTTGTGGGGCTAGCTTCGTTCGAAAGCCTGCGGCGCTAGCTTGTGGGGCTAGCTTCGTTCTAAAGCCTGCGGCGCTAGCTTGTGGGGCTAGCTTCGTTCTAAAGCCTGCGGCGCTAGCTTGTGGGGCTAGCTTCGTTCGAAAGCCTGCGGCGCTAGCTTGTGGGGCTAGCTTCGTTCGAAAGCCTGCGGCGCTAGCT